GAGGTGGGGTGAGGGAGGGGGCACTAGTGCCTGGGGGCAGTGCAACCCCAGCAGGCCCACCTCCCAGAACAAAGTCACCTACAAACACCCCCTCCAGGAGCTGGGGTGACACCATCACCCCAGGAGGGGTGATCCAGCTGGAGCAGGGAGATGTGGGAGGCAGGGCACCCAGGACCCATCCGGGCCGCAGGGGCAGGGAAGTGCTCTGTAGGGTAGCAGGGGCACCTGCAGGGTCTGTAGCAGAGATGAGGGGCAGTGAGCATGTTCCCATGCTCACCAAGGTAGGGTAGGGGGAGCTTGGGGGCCCAGGAAGGTCCTGAGAGGCCCAGCCAGCCCCCTGGCGCCAGACACTGGGGTCAGGAGTGGGGAGTGTGGGGGTGGTGGCAAGATCCACTGGATAGGGGGCATCTGCTGGCTAAGAGTGGGGGGCCACGGGGCAGTTCTGAGGGCTCTGCAGACCCCACGCTGATTCTCTCTCGAGTCCTGTCCCCACCCCAGGCCCAGCGTGAGAGAGGACCACCTACTCTAGACTGCGCATCGTCCAGAAGACCCCGAGGCACAGGAAGGTGGCCACTTTCCCAACAACTGAACTGCAGAGGCCCAAGCAGGACTTAAACCCGGGGAGGCGGGGAGGGCTGAGACCATGCCGCCCGCTCACAGGCCCCGGGCCACCTCGGAGATCTGAGCAGGGGTTCTGAGCAGGGGCTCGACTCCAGCACCCACCGAGTGGAGAGGACGGCCTTACCTGGCCTTCAGCACCTCCTGCACCTTCTGCTCCAGCTCGATCCGCCGCTGCCGCTCCCGCTCCAGCTCCTGCCGCAGCATCTCCGAGTTGGTTTCTTCTCGCAGCTTCCGGAGCTCTTCCTCTGTGCAGGGAGAGAACGGCCAGCTGACCATCGCTTGCGTCCACTCTGCCACTGCCGACTTAGAGATGCCAAGGCAAGGTTGCCCAACTCCGCAACAGCAGATAGGTTTCTGCCCCACGCGCCTGAACTTTCTCAAGTTTGCAGGGGGATCAGATGAGGGCTGCGCTCTGGCCTCGTCTGCCAGGTAGTGGCAGCTCTCTGGCCCCTTCTCCAGGGTACACACCAGTGGGAAGGAACTGTTAGTTGGGGCTCTTCTTACACTGTCACGGCAAAATCTGGGGTGAAGCAAAAGAGGATTTCTCTACTGTGCTCCACAATGGTGCAAAATAGACACAGAAAAGGTGCTTCACCAACCCACTGCCACCATACCTACAGGACAGCCGAGGAAGGGACACTGACGGCACTCGGCCACCCCTCCAACACAGACTCAATGCCTCCACGCACCAGGCAAGGTTCTAGGAAGCATCAGCAACAGAGCCAAGGCTCTGGGGTAGCGGGGACAGGATGCTGGTAGACAGCTACATGGAGAAGGCAAGACCTGGGGCGCAGCGCTGGGGCAGAGGAGGCAGGAGGGCCAGGGGTCAGACAGAGAGAGGTGGGAAGGTGGGCTGGAGGAAGAGGCCAGGAGCCAGGGGTGCAGGCGGCCTCCAGAGCTGGGGAAGTCAAGACACAGGACCAAGGTCACTTCAGAAATTGCTCTTTCCTGTCTCTAAGCCAGGCACGGCGGGACTCACTCATGTCACATGAACCTGTCCCCTCTCTCTGCCCACCTCTGCATGTGAGAGCAGCCCTCCCAACGTCCCTGGTCCATTCTCAGCTTTCGGCTCCAGCTCAGAACATCCAAGCTCAGCTAACTGTCCTGAAGTGGCTGGGACTGGTGTCAGGGAAGGGACCGCAGCCCTGAGTGGATAACTGATGCATGCTCAGCTCTCTAGGATCCCACGCATGCACTGCTCAGTGCTCAGCTAGGACCCAGGAGACAGTACTCAGCCCTGCCCTGGAGAACGCTCACCACAGCAGGAACATACCCAAGAGCCAGAACCAGTCCTGCAGGAGCAGAAGGGAGGGCCTGGGGCTTGGGGCAGCACAGGGGGCTGAAGCGGGGCTTCCTTGTGGGGGAGGTCATGGCAGGTGGGCTCAGGTCAGACAATGGGGGCAGTTCTAGGCCACCTGAGGCCCTGGAGGGCTCCCCCGAGAGGGCCCTAGCATGAGTTCAGCCTGGAGGGCGCGGGTGAGGACGGAGGAGGTGCTGAAGGCCAGCAAGGAGGGGAGTCTCGAGTCTGGGCTCCGAGGTCCCGTGTGCGTTTCTGGCTGGGGGCAGCTTTCTGCCTCAGCTCAGGTCTCCCACACTCGCTGCTACAGCCGCACCCCTCAGAGGGACAAGAGAGGCGGCCTCTCTCCTCCATCCTCTGCCCCGTCCCAGCTTCCACCTCCTAAAACCCAGGGCGCAGGCACATCTAATCACATGCCTGACACCAGCTCCCCCTTGCCCTCGTGGGGTCTGGCGCCGGCTGGATACCTGAAGAGGAGATGAAATACTGCGATAAAAGCAGAGAGCCAGCCTGCAGACGCCAGGTCTTCCTCCTCAAAGGCCTGGGCGGCCACCTCCACCCCCACCACCGGGGAGGTGCGGCCTGTGCTTTGGGGACAGGCCTCCCCCTTCCCAGACAGCTGTGCAAGTTTCATGGGGGCCACTCCACAGAGCCTGCTGGAATTGCCCACACTCGCCCTGCTGGCCCACGTCAGGGCGTCCCACACACCCACAAGCCCAGAGGAAGCTGCGGGAGGCCCGATGAACCCAGCCTCGTCCGGTGCCCAGCACGTGGCTGCTGGGATGGAGAAATGAATGAATGACTGAACGAACGAATGAGTACCCTCTAGCTCCTCTACTTCCCTTCCCTGAGGGTCAGAAGATGTGGAGGAAAAGGGAGGAACCTTGCAACTCTCAGCCCAGGGGACGCTGCAGAGCCCAGGAGCCCGGGACGCGCCTCACGGAAGCTGGGCTCAGCCCAGCTCTGCCGTCCTGGGAGGGAGGCCGTGCTGGGTGTGCACGGGGCTGAGGGGCATCTGTTTGTAAGGCACTCCCAGAGAGCAACTCCTAGAAGGGACCACCTTGCAGTCCACAAAGCTGCCCAACAAGAGGCCCCAAGACCCCGGGGACAGCCCCAAAGGCCGGGAGGCAGGCTTTCCCAGTGGGTCTTTGGCCTCCCCAGCAGGGACCCCCAGCTCTGGCCGGGGAGAGCATTCCATCTCAGCCCTTGAAACCCCCTGCCTGCAGCCCCCTGGAGGGCAGCACCAGTGGGCGCCGTTACTGACAACTCAGTGGTCACGTTCCCCTCTGCCGGTGCATGGGCAGCACCGCAGCACAGGACCCTGCGGCTGGCACAGATGTGCACTCGGGACACCTGCAGAGGGCAGAGTTGCAGGGATGGGGACATCTCTGAGCTACAGCCCTCACTTCTCACAGTGCACAGGAGGCTCAGGGACCTTCAAGCACCAGGGAGCTGGAGACTCCAGGATCCAGCAGGCTCTTCGGACACCTGGCTTTTGAAACATTTCCTGCATGGTTTTGCAGCCACTGAATCTTACATCAGTGGGGAGGCTGGGAAAGCGGGGGGCTGTGCTCTGGCCCTGACCCCACAGCCAGGTGTGACAGTGGCAATGGACACTGAGACACAGAACAAAGGAGGTGCTGGGACAAACAGTTTTCAGATTCCACTTGGCCTCTTCCTCCTCCTCACAGAACTGAAATAATTCAGTGTTTTGCCCAGCTGCCCAGGGCACTGGGAAAACGAACATGGTCTGGAGGCCCACGAGGCAACGGCTCCTGGAGCCTTCCTGGGTTGACGGCTGACGCTGCAGAGGCTTTTGGGGATGCCCGGGCTCCACAAAGGCAGGCACGGATTCGGGTGGAAGACTTGGCCCAGGCAGCAAGAGCTGGCGCTGGGAGCAGGCCCTGGGTGGTGCTGGACTAACAGCATTAACTAGCCACTCACTGGAGAGAAATGAGAGGGCAGTGTCCCCACAGTCCCTGCCAGCAGTGCCATCGGATGCTCATGGGGAGGATCCCATGAGACCAGAGCGGTCACAGACCAGTCTAGCCATGCTCACTCCACTCCTCAGTGTCTCTGTTTCTCAGGGCGCTGGCTCAGAGACAGGCTGGAACCACGGGATGCACTCGGTGCAGGAGGCAAACCGGCATGGTGGGCACAGCCCAGGGTGACCTGCTGGGGGACCCGGGCAGTCCTAAGCCTACACACTGCACCCCAGAGCACTGAGTGAGGGTCACAGGCTCAGTGGGTGGAAGCTGCCCAGGCCACAGGTAGCTCAGGGCATCTGAGGTGTCTCACAACCATGCCACCTGCCCCAACCATTGCATGCCCACAGGAGCCAGGCCTCATGCAGAGAGGGGGTGGGGCCTGAGACCTTGATACCCCAGAAGGAATCGTTTCTACCAGCCACAGATCCAAGTCCTGTTCAGCTCTTCAAATCCCAGCTGCCGGCTGGTAGAGGAGGCAGCCCCAGGCCACATCTGTTACCCACCACCTGAACTGGTGGGCAGACGGTGCTCTCTTGGCCTGCTCACCCATTCTTTGCAACTCTGAGGAGCAGGTCCAACACACCCCAAGGGTCAGAGGTGTCCATGGCCTGCCCACACCAGGCCAGCTGTGCACCAGCCCCCTATCCCTGTGGTCTCCCCCACCCCCGCAGCACCAAGTTTACCTTGACCCAGGAGGAAACTGGAGCCCGCACCAAGTGCCCATGCCCCCGGCTGCACGGTTCCAATTGCCACCCCGAATGGCAGGCCAGTATTCAGCCACTCTGAAACATGTGCTGGGCACACGGGGGACACTCATGATACAGAATGACCAAAATGAAGGCCCAACCTCTGGGGGAGGACACAGACAAAAGAACAAATCATGGGGTGCAGAGCAGGTGTTACAGGGGGGCAAATGTGAGTGGGAGACGCTGGCAAGAGAAGACATTGGCAGGGATTGTTCAGGCCAGAAAGACAGCCCATCCAAGTCCCCAAGGAGGACATGGCCAGGGACCATGAGGGCCAGCCACTGTGGGGCAGAGCGTGGCTCTCCCTCCTGGAGCTCGGCCCCAGCTGCCTTCAGACACAGCACTTACCCTCCAAGACCCAATCCCTCCAGAGCCACAGCCCTCACAGTGACAGCAGCTGGCCGGCTTCGCCCCTTATCACAGGTGGCCTGCCTCACCCCACAGACTGCCTGCCTTCCCCGGCTCTCAGCTCCTGGAGCTGTAGCAGACCCACCTTTGTAGGTGGCCTGAGGTGCAGCCAGAGCACAGCCCCCAACCCCACAGCGCCCGCCAGCCATTCGCAAGCTGGGGACTGGCAGGAGCCGTGGAGAAAACACGAGGAGCAGATCCAGCAGTCCCCGGACAGAGCGCCGCAGGCCCCGACAAGTCTGACCTAAGGACGCAGGGCCACGCCTGAGGTGTTCCTATCGCAGCCTGGAGAGGGCAAGCATGTCACTTCTCAGGACCACCCTCCTCCGCAAGCAGGGGGCTGGGGTCCCAAGCCCAGCCCAACCCTGTCCCCTCAACTGGCTCAGGGAGGCAGCAGATGGCCGAGCACCACCACGATGGCCTGAGGTCAGGGCATATCCAGGTGCAGTGAAGCTGTTACTGGGCAATGGTGGCCAGCAGGACCCGGTTGAGGGTCCTCCAGTACTGTCTGTGCCCAAAAGTCTGCCTTGGCGTGGCCTGTGGTGGCCAAGGGTCCAGGTGATTGGTCAGCCTCAGTTTGAACACGAAAAACCATGATCATGAGCTGACAAGCTGAAACCTTATAACACAGAAACTCGTACAGGAAAGACCGCATCTGCTCAAGTCCCATAAATACTCCTGAGACCAAAGAGCTTGACCAATCAATTCACTAAATCCGTGGGGGAGAGCCAGAAACCCCCAGCAGTCTGACGAGCAGCCCCCTTCTTTCTGGACAGATTGGGGAGGGGTAAGGACGACCCCAGCAG